TTTCTCCCTGCTACCCCTCCCCCCAGTTCACTCTTCCCTTTGAAAAGTTAAAGAAAAATTCTTTCACTGTTATACAATCCCTCCCCCCAAGTCCACTCCACTTTACAGCCTTCATTCTGGACTCCAAAACAGTCAGTTCTAACCTATCAGCTCATCTGCTGGAGAAAAATGGGGATGAGTAGTCTCTTCCCATTAAGATTTACAGTTGAAATCTAATGAGTCTCTGTTAGTTAGAATTAAGTCCGCAGCAATGTGTTTGGTGTTAAGGGTAGAACCAGGTTTTCTGTATCTGTCGAGTTTCCCCTCCATGACACTTAAACATGCTGTACTTTTCAGATTTCTAAACCAGGAGACTGGAACTGCTTCAGTTCCTTAGTTTTGAAATGTGCTTTTCTAAGGCTTGGTGTATGTCAGTGGCTATTCTGAACTCCAAGGAGGTTTGGTTCCTTTCTCCTGAAGTTTCTATCATTTTCACATCACCCACTAGTGCTCCCTGGTTCATCAGACCTCAGTGTACCCTATCACCTTCTCTGTACCTCACCTCCAGTGGTTGAACAATGAAGAACTGGGTGAGTTTGGAGCTTACCAAAAGTCCCTCGTTAAGTGACAGGACAGCCCCTGAAGGTGTCTGCATGAGCAGTGACCAAACTCTGCTGGGCCTTGTCTCTAGATGCTTTATGACCTTTGTTCTTGGGAAAGCAGCATCTACGCCTCTTTTCTGGCAGAGTTAGTCTCAGCCAGATAAAACTTCCTGTTTTTCTTCCTTTGAGCGCTGGGCTTTATCCACAGGTGTGCATATGACCTCTGGAGACACAGGGGGATCCCTCAACTGCTTATACTGGGCCTTGTCCTTTGCATGAAGGCACCATTCCATCTCTGTTCCAGCCATGAGGCTACCTCATGTCTCCATTTCAAAAGGACTAAAAGCCATGGTTGAGTCTTCATGTGAGGGCTTTCACAACAGATCTTACGCTCCTGTCTCTCTTCTAAGTCCTTCAACTCCTCTAAGCTTCCTTCCCAGACCCTGCCCTGCCATCCTTGAATTCTTATACCATATCCAAATGCTTGTTCCTACCTTCCTTCCTTCTTCCACTGGGATGGCCTCAGAACTGCCTGCTTACCCAGAAGCCTCAATCTCTGCCTCTTTGTGGAAGCTTTCCTTGACTTCCTTATTGGACTAAATTCAGTGGGTGAATTTCAGGAGTGTGTGAACTTTTCTATGTTCCATGAACGTTCTAAGATCTCACACACAGTGAGCCTTCATGGAGGCTGAATTCACTAGATTTCCTTCTCCTCTACCTCATGCCCTAATTCTACCCCCAAAAGCATGCCTTCTGTGAATCTTACTTACTGAAGAAGATCAAAGACTACAGCTTTTGATATGGATTACATCGCAATAGAAAGGCAAAATTCCTCAGCTTTAGACCAATAGGCAACAATATGATAGATGAAGAAAAGATTGAAGTTGTCAAAAATGTCATTTTAGTTGGATCCACATCAATGCCCATGTAAAAATAGTTAACAGATCAAAAGACATGTTGCAAAGACCTCTTCCTTGATGAAAGATGTTAAAGTGCTCAAAGTTAAACAAGGAAGAATTAAAATCAAGGTGTTGATGTCTATGAGCTCTGAGGCTGGTAAAAGAGTACTGAATATCCCACGGAGTACTAAAACAACAAACACGTGTGGGTTGGAATAAATGTAACTAGGGTGCTCCTTAGAGGCAATGATGAGACATTCTTCAGGCATGTTATCAGGAGGGGCCAGTCTTGGAAAAAGACATCAAGCTGGGACAGGTTGAGGGTAAATGAAAGAAAGACCCTCAACAGGATGGAGTGAAACAGTGACATTCACGATGGTCTCAATCACGTCAGAGATCGTGAGGACAGTGCAGAATAGGTCAGGCTTTAGATATGTTGTTCACATGGTTTCAATGAGTAGTTGTTGTTGTTATGTGCCATTGAGTCACCTGTGACTCATAGCGACCCTATGTACAACAGCCCTAAACCCTGCCCTATCCTGTGCCAATCTCACTATCTCTGACACACCTACTCCCTTTACCCCAGTCACAGAATTAATCCACTTAATAGAGGGTCTTCCTCTCCTGCACCGTCCCTCCACCCTCCCAAGTATGATGTCCCTCTCCAAGGACAGGTCCCTCCTTGCAAAATGTCCAAAATGTATCCGATGAAGCTTCAGAATCCTTGCCTCCAAGGAGCAGCCTGGTTTAACCCTCTCTAGGATGAACCCGTTTGTTTTCTTAGCAGTCCATGGTATATTCAATACTCTTCTCCAGCACCACAGCTCAAAGGCATCAATTCTCCTTCTACTATCCTTAGTCATTGTCCAGCTCTCTGACACATAGCAAGTGATTGCAAAGACCATGGCCTGTATCAGGCGCACCTTAACCTCCAGTGTGACATCATTGTTCTTCAGTATTTTCGAGAGGTCCTTAACAGCAAAGTTTCCCATTATAATATGTCTTTTAGTTTCCTGGCTGCTGTTGACTCAACATTATTTAACAACAACAAATATGACACTTCTTCCCCAAAGCATTCAGACCTTTGGTGGTGCCCACTTTTTGTAGTTGATAATCCTATGCAACCCTACCCTCTTCTTTAACTAGCTCGATGCATTAGACCTGCCTTGCCTCAGCAACAGCATCTGGCTGTATATGCTATGGAACCCTGTGAACCACATCTCTAATTCCTTGCATCACATATACAATATCCACACACTCACAGCCACTCACCCTTGCTTTCCTACCCATGTCCCCATCTCAGCGAAGATGATCATCATTCTCTCAGTGGACTTCTATGCCCATTTCAAATCTCAGCTTAGATACTATTTCTTCTAGAAGTTTCCCCTCAAACTATTGAACAGATTGGGTCAAATGGTCCTACTGGGCTTCCGCTGGGCTAGTGGTCCAACTGCCTTTTTTTTCTCAGATTTGGGCCATAGGGATGTGATACGTTGTTCCACCTATATGTTTACATAGCTCTCCAAATGATTCATGAGAGGAGTGATACTGGCTCTCCAACTGTCACATGAAAGCCATTCTAGAAATAACTTATTCACTGATTTGCTGAATAGAACTGCTGACAAATGGCTGACTGGCTGGGTCTGAGCAAAACAGAACCCTGTTGCCACTGAGTCCCTTCTGAGTCATTCTGATGTTGTTAGAGTAGAATTGAGCTCCATAGGATTTTCAATGCTTATAAACTTACAGAAGCAAATCACCAAGTCTTTCTTCCAATGTGCCACTGGATGGATTACTAACTTACAAAACTTATTAACTTATTTTAGTTAGTAGGTGAGAGCAAATTGTTTGCACCCTAAAACCAGAAAGGAAAGACTGTTGTAGCATAATCACAGCATGCCTGTCACCCCCACACTGAAGTCATATGCTGTTTGAAGTCATAGAAGGCGTAGTTTGAAGACATAGTGCCTCTCTTTGGGAGGAGGGAGTGATGTCGCCTCCACTATATTCTCAGGGGTTTGATGTCTGAGCCTTTATGGGTTTGCACCTGGTACTTAAGCTGTGACAGGGGAGGGATATGGCTGATACAGTAGGCTGGGACTAGGCAGAGGGTTGTAGATGGCCATGGAGCCAAATTGAGGTTGTGCATAGAGTTGGAATAGGAAAAGTGTGAGGCCAAATGGTGAGCATAGGGTTGAGATTAAGCGATGGCTGATAGGTGATAGGATGGCTGATGGTAACAGGACCATGACTGTGCATGAGAAGGAGACTGTACTGGGGATTTCGAGCTGGAGTTGGAGGTGTTGCTGGGATTGGAGCGTAGCTGGGGATTGGTCTTTCTCTGAATTACTTTCTTCTCCTTGCAGTAGTTGGGGCTCGAAAGAAGCTCCCTGAAGTCAATCTGGAGGGAGAGCTAGGAGGATCCATTACCTTCAAGTGTCCATTGCCTGAAACATACCCAAGGATATACCTGTGCCGGGAAGTATCTGAATCTGGAATGTGTGCCACTGTGGTATCCAATAAATATTATGTCAAGAATGAATATATTGGTCGAGTCACTCTGAAGCTGTGCCCAGAAGAAAATGTCTTTCTGGTGGAGATTACAGAGGTGACTGAGGATGACAGTGGAGTCTATGCCTGCGGGGCGGGCTTCAACACAGACCAGGGCAAGACCCTGAAAATCACCCTGAGCATCAGTGGTAGGTACCCCAAATGCCTGGAGGCTTGGCTGCCCCAGAAATGCTGAGAGGCTGCAATAACCAACCACCTGCAGTAGTTCCCCAGACTCTCCTATTTACTGCATGTGAACCAGAGCAAGGACCGGGATCCACGTAGGTGAGACCTCACAGCATCGTCACTGACCTCATGACAACGTCATTGTTAAACCCAGAATTTTCTATCCAAAATACATGTAAGAAACAAGGCCATTCTATCCAGGGCAGGGTAGTGGGGTGAGATTGGGGAGAGGCTCTGAGATGAGAGGACATTAGAAGCAAAAGGATAGAATTACCCTCCCTAATTGCCCTATAGGAAACATAGGAGACAAATGCAAGGAAAGGGCTGTTTGGTGTTTTGTTTGTCAAAGTCAGTATTTTCTCATCTGACCCATACTTCACTTCTACTGAAGCCCATCTTTCACCATAGTATGTCTACACACACATACAGAAGTCGCTCACAGCCTAAAATGCCAGTGACCCCTGTTGGCTTTGCAGGGAATGTTTGCAGGGCAGAAGGAGAGGGTATCTCTTTAAGGAAGCCCACAGCTCAGTCCTTTCCTGCTCCTTCATGCTCCCTGTCCTCGTTCCCTCACCGCCATCCACAGTCAGTTTCAACTCACATCAAGAGTTTCTTCTGCAGATCTCAGCCACGACCTTGAACCCACAAATGTTTTTCTCTTGCCTCCAGCAGAGTATTATGACTCTCGCTGGAAAAAGGAGCTAGAACCCCAGATTCCAGAATGGTCTCACAGACTTCTCCATCTGACGACAACCCTGAAGGCCCCTTGGTTGTGGATACCTGAATATGACAGTCCTTCTGAACTCACATCCAAAGGTCAGTTCACCAAAGCTAGGATGGGAGGCGGGGGCAATGGGGACATTGTGAAGACCGATGGGGAGAACAGAACTCAGGCAGCACACAAGGGACCTCCTGATACCTGCTTTCCATATTTTCATTTTAGCCAGACCAACCCACTGTGGTGGAGTCAATTCCAGCTCATTGTGCCCTCTATCGGTCTTCTAGTGTAGTAAATCTTTACAAGAGGAGACTGCTTCGTTTACCTCTCACGGGCTGGCGGCCCAGCACAGATGCTCTCCTGCTACCAGAACTCCTTTGTTGCCAGAACTCCAAATTCCAATTGCACGCAGAATTGGAATACCACCACCAGGTGGCACTACAAGCAACGGGATTTGTGTTTCATTCACAAAATTGCAAACTATTTTATGAATGACTTTCAAACCCAAGACTGGGCAGCGTTCCAACCAGTCAGAGGTCCTCATGGCACCTGCTTCCCACAGCACTTTCTTCTACCTACCGGAACACAAGGATTTGTTTACCACTACCCTTTTGCAACAAAGAGCTGAGTAAAGGTTATACATGCCTTGTTGATTGTTGTCAAGTCGAGCAACACATACCTTACATTTTAAAATATATATCCATTTTTAAGCACCTTCTGGCATGCAATATTTCCATCATACAGTCACAGCTACTCTATACGACCTATAAATTAATTGGATGCTATTACACTATGGGAGCCTCTTGGGTGTAAAGAAGGATGATGTAACTGAGTGCTTCATACACCCAATATTATGATCAATTGATTGATGAGTATGCGTTAGGTAGCATGGAAAGCCCAGAGAAATGGCCCAAAATGGAACAGGAGCAGAACTATAAACAAGACTTCAGGTGCAGAGGTGGGAGAACTATTCTACATGGGGAGGAGATTAGGAAGGCTTCCCAGAGGAAATATATTTGAAGAATAGACTTGGGAATCTAGCAGATATGGAAAACATGCTAAGAAGCAGAGGTATATCCAGGGGACGGTAGGTAAAACTCCGGAGCTCTGGTGGTTACAGTGCTAAAAGCCAGCATGCTAGCTGAAAGATGGGTTGTTGGGCTATACCATTCAGTCCCTCCGTGGGAGAAAGTGGGGCAATCTCCTCCTGTGATATTTACAACCCTGGAAACTTGAGAGTCACTATGAGTTGGAGTAGACTTGACAGCAGAGGCTTGATCAGGATGGCACATACCCTGGTGTGCACATGCCACTTGAAGGAGGTGCCAATGAGCTGTTACTCTTTCCCATCACGGTCTCCAGATGTGAAAGATCCTTCAGCAATTTAAAACTAACTACTATACAGTATAAACTCATGGGACCACTGACACTTTGGCCGTTAGACACCCTTCAAGACTAGAACAGAACTCCTCTCTGGAGATAACCTTGCAGCCAAGCCACAGTGAACAATGATACCAGGCATGAGCACTTGCTTCAGGGTCATCAACCATGTAAGACCAACAGAGCAGCATTTACCCCAAGACAGAGGTCAGAAAGCAGAAAGGGGCAGAGAATCAGGAAAAATGGAAATGAGCCACCCAGGGAGAGAGAAGAATGCTGCTTGCTATGTTGTGGTGTTTGGGGCCAATGTCAGGAAACAAAATACATGTAACTTGTTGAATGGAAAATTAACCTCTCTGTGAGCTTTCACCCAAAACACAATAAAGAATAAAAAAGAAAGTTGAAACTTGACTCACTCGTAGCTGTTGGGTCAGAACCAATGCATAGTTGACCCTCCAACAGGTTTTTGGATACTGTATATCACGCAGGAGAAGATTGTCCATCTTTCACCCACAGAGCAGCTGGTGGCTGAACCACCCTCATTTGGTGGGAGTGCAACTTCCTACCCACTCGGCCACCAGAGTTTCCTAGAGTTTAAGGTGGTTGTTGTTGTTGATTGCCTTCAAGTCGAGCATGACTCATAGCGACGACCCTTTGAACAAAAGGCCTGAAGCCCCTCTCCAGCTATCAACATTTATCAAAGTTCATAGACTTTTTGGAAGCATGTTATTTAGGAAGTGGATGCTAAAAAAAAAAACAACCTATGCAACTAATTCCCACAAGTATTCTTTTTCATAGTCAGGCCTCTGTTAAGGAGGGATTATAGGGCATGAGGACTGAAAGAGCAGAAGTAGTACGGAGAAAAGGGAAGAAGAGGGCAAGAGGGGAAGAGATGGTGATGAAATCCTACTGGAGGTTACAGGGTGTATTTGGAAGGTCACTTTTCCCTGCTGTCTCTTGCAGTAACCAAAGCAGCTGGGAGGACCCAGGCCCCTCCAGTCTATCATACACACCCTGATCTTTCACTTATGAACCGCCCTCTAAGTCCCAAACCTTCTTCGGTGGCAGCTGACAAGCCCCCAACACTCCTGCCATCCACCACAGCCTCGACGACCCCAGCTCAGGAGGAGAAGGCCAGGCCCCAGCTGCCCAGCTACGACCACCAAACCAGGCTGCACAGGCACAGGTAAGGGGCCCAGGTAGTCCAGGATGAAGTAAGCTAGAGTTAAGAGTTCTACTGAAATCCTCCTGCAACATCTACTCTGAAATGTACTATGTGAGTATGGCACATTGGTGGCAAGCGTCTTCTCATCAATGGCCTCATGTCACTAACAGAGGATCTGTAGGGATGGGCTTTCCCTCAACATTGATTCACATCTGTTTTGATGAGAAAGGGCTAACTGAGAAAGGCATCTGTCTTAGATGTTAAATGCTGCTGTAACTGAAATACCACAAGTGGATGGTTTTCATAAATAGATATTTACTTTCTCACTGTTTAAGAGACTGTATCTCCACTCAGGACATCAGCTTTCCCTTTGTGTTGCTTCTGGGAGAAGGTCTTTCTGTGGGCCTGAAGACCTTGGAAATCTCCAAGTGTTTGTTATCAGTATCCACCTTGGATGTTCTTAGGGCAGAGACCACAAGTTCAAAGATTTGCTCCGCTCCAGTTCCTCTTTCTTGGTGATTAGTTAGGTCCCCCTTCAGGTGCTCACTTGATTTTTTGTTGTTGTTATATGCAATCAAGTCATTTGCGACTCATAGCAACCCAATGTACAACAGCCCTGAAACTCTCTCCTGTGCCAACTTTACTGTCTCTGACACACCTACCCTTATTATGTTAGTCACTGTATAAATCCATCTCATCAATGGTCTCCCTCTCTTTCTCCATCTCTCCACCCTTCCAAGTGTGATGTCCCTCTCCAAGGAACCAGTCCCTCACAAAATCCCTCCTGATTTATGCTATAACCTAAAACTGTTGATTGTAGCCTGTACCTTATAAACATAACTGCCTCTAATTCTACCTTGTGGAGGTGGTGCTGTGTGTCATGAAGTCAGAACTGACCCATAGCTGACCTTCCAGTGGGTTTTCAGATGCCGTAAATTGTACAGGAGGAGACTGGCCATCTTCCTCCTGAGAAGCAGCTAATAGGTTAAAATTGTGTGTCTGAGATTGTAGTGTGGTTTTGTAACACTATAAAATCTAAACTCATCCTTGAATTGATCCCAACTCATAGCAACCCTACAGAACAAGGCAGAATTGACCCACAGCATTTCCAAGGCTACCAAATGCCACATTTTCTTCCCACAAAGCAACTAGTGGGTGAAGCCACTAAATTTCAGATTTGCAGTCCAGTGCTTCATCCACTGCCCTACTTAGTTTCCTCTTAGCTTCAGGTTGTTATTATATGCTGTTAAATCAGAACTGACTTATAGCTGATCCTCCAGTAGGTTTTCAGAGGCTGTAAATCACACAGGAGGAGACTGACTATCTTTCTCCTACAAAGTGGCTGGTAGGTTCAAACCACCTGCCTTTGGGTTGGTAGCACAACTCCTTACCCATTAGGGCCACCACAGCTTCCTATTAACATCATAGGGGTGAAGATTTACAACACATAGAATTGCATCAGTTCAAAAAGGGAGAACAATTACACAATACTGAGAATCATGACTCAGTGAAGTTGACACTTATTTTGGGGGGAAGTAATTAAATTCATAACAGCATCTTGAAAAAGTCACTTAGTCTTACACAGCACACAGAACAAAGTAACCCTTCTCACAAGCGTAGTTTCCAGGATTTCAGAGGTTAAGGGTCCAGCTTTGGTGCCTGAGCTCACCATCTGGCTCCCACCAGGAAGTTCTGTGATGGCAGGAAGGTCTCTTAACCTCACTGTGCCTCTGGTCTTTCATTTATCACCTCACAGGACCTTTGTGAGGATTAATGAGTTAGAACAAATGCTAGTGGCTGTAAAAAGAGCAAAGGCCATGTGGGGGGTGCCATGTCTGACCTTTGCCAATTTCACAGAGGGAAACTATCCCTGACCACAGTATCGATAACACAAAACCAATTCTCAAGAGGTCAGACATGTCCTCCACACTCCCATACCTCTTTCTACTCATCTCAACGCCAATCATACTGCTCTGTTGGGCCCAAAATCTGATGTGATAGCTCACAGACCACACAGAACCAACCATATTGTTGTTGTTATTGTTGTTGCTTTTATGTACTGTCTTGGGGAGTCAATAATCAATAATTAATTCAGATTAATAACAGAATATAGTCAAGACAGCTCCCAAAAATGTACATACACCTCAACCCATGGCTCTACATGTTACCAAGTTCTCAGTCCTCCTGATATTGGCTTCCTTCCCCAATTGTCCAACAGATTCTCAGTGTTGCCAATATTGGCTTTCTACCCAATTGTCCAATAAAGTTCTCAGTCCTACCAAAATTGGCTACCATCTCCACCCAAAATCCCATCTCACATCAATTCGCCAGTTCAGCCATGGCTGCTGCCACTATCCTGAAGCACGTTCTACATTTTTCTGCCTCCTCTTCACTGGAGTGAGGACAATCTCTTTCCTCTTCTCTGTCAGGGGAATATTCCATCTCTGAAGCTAAAGCTGTTCAATTTATTGGTGAAACTAGCCAATCCTTTTATAGAGTGTTGAGACTGGCCAATCCCCTTGTGGAATGGTAGATAGCCAATCTCTTTGTGTATATGCCAACACGCCCTATTTGCATAGTCCCGCCCATCCATATGGTTCAATCATCCACTTCAAAATAGTCCTAGAAAGCTATATTGAAAGACAAACTCCATAGAGGCCTAATGGTAAGGATTGACACTGCCGTTCCAATAACACATAGTTCTAACTCATTAGCTGCTCCACAGGAGAACGATCCTTCTTTGAGATTTACCATCTTTGAAAATCTGCTAGAAGATCAGTTATGAGTCAGTTCTAACTCAACAACAACAGCAAAACATTAGTTATTATAGTTAACTTGGGAGAACTTTAAGGAAAAGAAAAAATGCTGCCTCAGTCAATTTAGTCACAACTTCAAGAACAGATCCCAGAAATGGTACTTTTCTAAAATTCTCCAGAATCTAGACCAATTAATATAATATTGTGCTGTCCAATAAATAGCATAACTAGTAGCCACATATGGCTTTTGAGAACTAAAAAATCAGCTAGTCTGAATTGAGGTCTGGCTTTTAAGGACCTGGAATAAGAGGAGAAAGATTATTCTACATTTGAGTAGTATTTTTAAATCAATTATATGTAGAGGGAGTTCTGGTAGCCTAGTGTAGAAATGATAATACTTTAAATGCATTGGGCTAAATAAGATGTTCTATTAAAATTATTTTCCATTTTACCTGTTGGCTAAGTTAGTGAAAAAGCCTTATCATTCTATTTGCAATCACTTTTAATATGGCATGTAGAAAATTTAAAGTGACATCTATGACTCACAAGGTATTTCTTTATATTTTCATTAATTCATTGTGACACCTTTTCTTCCCTCCTCGTCTCTTTCTCCTCCTCAAGTTCACTTCTTTAAAAAAAAAAATTCATTCATTGTTGCACAATTTCCTCTCTCCCTCCCCTTCCCTTTCCCCTCCCCCAATCCTCTTTGCAATATACCTCTTATTCTGGACCATTGGCTTATATGGAACGCTTAATCATAGATTTATTTTAAACAATTCTCTCCCTCATCTGTTCCAATACAGTGTTCATTATCTATCCACCTGTATTTCTATTACAGAACTGGTCTAAAGATTGAGTTCAGTGTGGGGAAGTGCTGAAATTGACCACAAGAGGGAAGCATTATATATGAATCTCTTTAAAACAGAATTATAATGAAAACTATTCTTGCTTAGCCAAACACAAGCATTAGTGCAGACAGAGATGTTTAATATCTCAAAACTAGGATTCTTTTTCTGTATTTCCATAAATCACATCAAACTACCAATAGAAAATTAGAGCAAATCAATATTTTCAGAGTCTCTCTTATGTGCTAGACAGTGTGTGATAACCTAAAGATATAAAAAGATTATAAGATACAGAAAATTAAAGTCTTACTAATATTGCACTGGAACTCTGAGAAGCCAAACCAAAGGGAAGAAATCGAGATGTGAAGGAGCTGAACAAAAGATTTCAAAAGGCAGCACAGGAAGACAAAGCAAAGTATTATAATGAAATGTCCAAAGAGCTGGAGTTGGAAGATTAAAAGAAACGAATTCATTCAGCATTTCTTAAGCTGAGGAACAGAAGAGCAAACTCAAGTCTTGAGTGGGCAGAATGCTGAATGACCTAGGAAGTAACAAAAGAAGATGGAAGGCGTACAAAGAGTCACTATACCAGAAAGTATTGGCTGACACAGAAGAATGTCATGAAACAACATATAATCAAGAGTCTATGGTGATGAAGGAGGAAGTTCAAGCTGCTATGAAGGAATTGGCAAAAAAAATAAGGCCCCAGGAATTGATGGCATCCCAGTTGACATATTTCAATAAACAGACACTGCCTTGGACACACTACCAGGTTGTGCCAAGAAATCTGGAGGACAACCACTTGGCCAACTGACTGGAAGAGATCAATATTTGTTCCCATCCCAAAGAAAGGTGACCCGACAGAATGTGAAAAAATTATCAAACATTATCATTAATATCATATGCAAGCATATGCTGAATAATATCCAAAAACAACTAGAGCAGCACATCAACAGAGAACTACCAAATAGGCAGACTGGGTTTAGAAGAGGCCATAGCCCTAGGGACATTATGGCCAATGTTAAATGGACTTCAGCTAAAAGCAGAAAATATCAGAGTGTTTATGTTTGTGTTTCATTATCTATCCAAAGGCATTTGACTGTGTGGATCACAACAAACTGTGGCTAACTCTGAGAAAAAAGGGAATCCCAGAACATTTGATTGTGCTAATGCGAAATCTATACTTGGACCAGGCGGCAGTTATCAGAAAAAAGCAAGGAAACATTGCATGGTTCAAAATCAGGAAAGGTGGTCACCAGGGATGCATTCCATCTCCATACTTTTTTAATCTATATGTGTAACAGATCCTCTGGGAGGTTGGGCTCTGTGAGGAAGAATGTGGCATCAGGATTGGAAGAAGACTCCTCAACAACTTGTGTTATGCAGATGACCAACCTTGCTTGCCCAAACTCAGCAGGAC